TATATGTGTTTATTGTAACAGCGTTATAACCGGGTATTACTCCTCTGATCAGAAAGGCCAGTGTAAGCCGTATTAACCTGAATTCGGCTATTGGTTTGTTTCTGTGAATGAAGGGAATTACTCCGAGTTGTGGCGCGGGAGTCAGACTGTGATCCGGCCTCTTCAGGCACGCATTTCTCTTTTATCCTCTTTTATTTCCCCTTCTACGAACACACATACACACATATTCCTGTGTAAACGTACATCTGGAGACCAACTCCACCACCGCGCCATTACGCACAGAGATCTATACACTCGCGGCTATCCAGACGCCTCAGAGACACAGATCGTGTAGGGCCGAACTCAGTCTCTTTTAGACCTTAAGGTCACATTTAGGCCTTTGTTAGGTGTGTGCCATCGGAAGGGCGACCACGTGGGACGAAGTAATCTTCCCCCCCCTCTCTCTCCCTTTCATCCACACGCGCACGCACCCAGGTCTTTGTTAGGTTTGCGCCATCGTGAACGACCACGTGGGTACGAAGCCATCTCCCCCCCCCCCTTTCTTCTTCCCCCTTTCTCTCTCTCTCTCTCTCTCTCTCACACACACACACACACACACACACACACCTACATTCACACCCCTTCCACAAGCCTTTGCTTGATAATGTTTGTTGCTTAGATTAGTTTATAATAGTTATTTGTTTAATTAAGTTCATTGATTTTGGATTGATGTTGCTTTGTTTAAATAAATTCTGTTATAATTTAAGAGAGCAGTTGTTTGTGGTTACTGGTGTATTTGCATTGTGATATAAGCTGGGTGCGAAGGCTTTGTGTACGGATTTCACGCCTTCAATTTATTAAATATAGTTATTCATTATTAATAATATTAGTAATTAAATAACTAATTTGAGACTGATTTGAGTGATATTTTGGTTATATTTACCTGATTACAGGTTGGTGCCCCAAAACGAGATTAAACATAGTTTAATGATATTTTATTTATATTATTAATAATTAAGTATAATTATTAAAGAATATAACCAAAGTTGACTTGATACAACCCCAACACGATTGAACTTAAAATATGTAGGGGTGCAGCTATAAGTAGTAAAATACAATATATGTATGAGGGGGAGAGGAGTACAGCGTTTTTTGGGGGTTCAGAAAAACAAAAACAAAACAGAACAGAAATAAACGAATTATTGAATGTAGCAGGTAAAAGTGTGACTGATAAAAATGAAATATTAAAAATAGTAAAGTGTTATTATGAAAGTCTGTTTTCCAGACAGGAGTGTGATGGTGTGAGTGTGAACAGAGCTTTGGGTGCCTTAAAGAAACAACTAAGCGATGATGATAAAATGTGGTGTGAATGTGAGTTTACAGATGGAGAAATTAAAAGTGCTTTAGAAGGTTTAAACAAAAACAAAAGTCCTGGTAGTGACGGCCTAACTGCAGAATTGTATCAAGCTTTCAAAGAGCAGTTAGTGCCCTTATTGAGTAAAATAAGTAAATATATTGAAAAAGTGAACTGACTGAAAAGTTTGGGGGAGGGGGTGGTTACTATTTTTTACAAAAACAAGGGAGACAATAAAAATCTGGGTTAGCCCTAACCCTAACTACTGTCAGTCAACAGACTAGTCATGCCGGGCCACATGTCAGTGGTCGACGGACACTATGTCCCGGGCCACATGACTATAGGGCAGCTTAACGTCATGCCAGGCCACATGTCAAGTGGTCGACAGACCCCAACATGCAGGCCTCATGACTATAGCTCATTAGCAGTCGTGCCGGGCCACACGTTAGGTGGTCGACGGACCGAAACGTGCCAGGCCACGCAACTACAGGGCAGTTCAGTGGGTCATGCGAGCCATTGTCAGGTAAAGTACCTAGACATAACGGGCCTCATGACCAGGTAAGTCACTAACTGCACAAGGCGAATGCCTATTCATGTCATATCAATAAATGATCATGGTTATATCATTCCATCCAACTGTAATTTCCCACACAGATATCCATACAGCCAATAAGGTAAGGCCTATGAGAATGGTGCTTTCTTAGTCTTTTCTCACTTTTATTTTGGGGGGTATCCTATCCTGCTGTCGGCCTCATTACCCTTCAGAGTACATGAAGTCGTCACAATGGAGTCTAATCCCCCAAAGACTTTGCACATTCAAATCTAAATTGTTGCACATTTATTGATAAATAAATAATTGTTAAGTCTCAATTAAGTCTCTCCTGATTGAATTACAATTCAGCTGGATCATGTTTCACTTTCAGGAGACGAAAGAAAAGCTTCTTAAGACAATACAGACAACTTGATCTGCCTCTTGATCTACCGCACATTTATTGTTAAATAAATAATTGTTAATTCTCAATTAAGTCTCTCCTGATTGAATTACAATTCAGCTGGATCATGTTTCACTTTCAGGAGACGAAAGAAAAGCTTCTTAAGACAATACAGACAACTTGATCTGCCTCTGAGGGAAAGTCAAGCCACAGGGCTTGTGGGTCTCCAACAGGTAGGACGGGAGCCACTGGTAGCTAGCGGGCAGGTTTCAAGTAGCTCGCCTATAGGTTGACTGACCGTGTTAAAAAAAATTTTTAAAAATCTGATGACAGTAAATGTACTTCTTCCCATTATTCATATATTTGGCCCATAAAACAAGAGTAAAGCAGTATTGTTTTCTGGGACATTGATGTGATTTTTCAGCGACATAGTTTACTATGTGGCACAATAAGAAGTGTAAAATATTAATGTTTTTTTCTTGGACCTTGATCTGAATTTAAGATTGTTGATAAGTATTGGCTTATTGCAATTTCACACGTGAACAAACAGTAGCTTAATTCAGCTGATGTGTGCTATGTAAATAAATGCAAGCGATTTTTTTGCAAGCAGCTCTTGGCCACATCTTTTCAAAGCAGCTCTTGAAAGAAAGGTTGGAGACGCCTGCTCTTAAGACTCTCGAACATGTCCAAAATGCTGCAGCTCGTGTACTGACGAGAACTAGGAAAAGGGACCACATTACTCCTGTGTTGGCTTCTCTGCACTGGCTCCCTATACAGTCTAGAATAGAATTTTAAATCCTTCTCACTTACAAAGCTCTAAATGGTCAGGCACCACCTTATCTTAAAGAGCTACTAGTGCCGTTCGAGAACATTACACTCCCAGAATGCAGGCCTTCTCGTTGTGCATAGCCTCAGGCAGACACACACTGTACTTTTAAGAACAGACTTAAAACTTTCCTTTCTGATAAATCTTATAGTTAGGGCTGGCGCAGGTATATATACCAGCTCCTCGTTATGCTGCTATAGACTTAGACTTCCCGGGGAAACTGGCACCTTGAGCTTCACATTATATTACTGCATGTCACTATCTGCAATCTTAGTTACTAACCACGCCTTTTCCTGGGAGCTCCTGAGCTGAACCTGCCTGAATGACCTTTTACTTACTTTTTGTAAAGTGTCTCGAGATAACAAAGTAAAACTCAAAGTCAACTTTATTGTCAATTTCAAAATATGCCAGACATACAGTGGAATCGAAATTGCGTTTGTCTCTGTCCCACGATGCAATACCACCAAAATAAGGTAAAATAAGATAAAATAAGATAAGGTAAAATAGATCAAATAAAATGAGGTAAAATAAGATAAATAATATTTACAGTAATAAATTCTAAATTGTGCAAAAGGTACAAAACAAAATGGTAAATAAAATAAAATTTAAAGAAAAAGTAAACTTGTGCAATATGTGCAATATGTGCAATGTGCAGTAAACTGAGTGTACTTTTGAATCGATAGCTTCAGAGTTATTAGTTCTTGGTGGCAAACGGAAGGAGGTTTCAACGTCCAGTGTTCGTGGGGGCAGAGGGGAGGGAAGGAAGAGAGGGGAGAGAATTAAGCTTCCTGACAGCTTGGTGAAGAAAATTCTCAAACCCTTTACTGACAATGCAGAAAGAAGGACAAAGGCTGAATAAAATGCCATGTTGTGGTCACTGATCAAGTAAGGTATGGCTGCAGCCTGGAGACCTCTCGCCTCAGGCCTTTCACGCCACACCACCTCGGCTCTTGCCCATTTCCAATGGAACGTGTACAGGGTCAAAAATATGAAATCGCAAATTATTTTCAAAATGGTCATTGAGTCTGTTTGTCACAAACAACTTTGAATTTGGGAAGACATCCAGCTAGTTTACAGTATGAAAGTGATATCTCAAAGTTAATTGTCATTTTCACAAAAGCATCTTTTTAAAACAAGTTGTAAGATGTTTAAGTGTTTGTGATGCTTCTTGAACAGTGTGTAATTTACAAATTAAACTTAAAAATATGTAATTGAAACCAAATTGATATTGTCTATCTATCTATCTATATATATGTAAAATTGGTTCACAATCTGTACCATCTGTTAGACATTTATACATAAATATATATGTATATGTGTGTGTGTGTGTGTGTGTGTGTGTGTGTGTGTGTGTGTGTGTGTGTGTGTGTGTGTGTGTGTGTGTGTGTGTGTGTGTGTGTGTGTGTGTAGGGGCGTGGCTTCAGTGTGAAAATCCACAAATTAAGAATCAAAATATTACATTCAGGAATCTGGGGCACACTGCTTGGGATATTTCTTCATCTTTTGCTCACAAATAAAAAATAAAAAGATTGATCAAATTTGTTATCAATTATTTCTCTTGTGATTGTTTATTCACAATGTGAGAAGCAGCCTTCCTTTCAAACCAACAATGAATGACACCATGGCAAGTGGATATTAAATACTGACCCATAATGTCCTTCACTACACAAAAGAATCACGTTATGATATTTGTACGAGTCTGTATAAGAACACATTTGTTGGACTGTCACAGTATACACTGTGATAATCCTGCCACCTCCAGGCTAACTTCAGGAAGTAAAAGAAAACTAATACACTATACTATATATGAACAGTTCTTAACAGACAACACCCGCTCAACTGGGTCTGCTGAGATCAGCAGCAGAACCCAACAAAACAGGTCATTAAAAAGTCAAGAGGCAGACCTTCCTGAACATTCCATTTTTTATTGGACTTATAAAGAAACACTTTAAAAAATGTGAAGTAGCACCATAAACAAAGTTTTACTTTAAATGTCAAAAAAATATAACTCTCCATACATTTCAAATCTTGTTTCAGCAAATATAATATTAAAATTTGATCATGAGGTGAAAGGCCCTTTATCATAAAATAAAATATACTTTGTTCTTAAACTTTGCTTAATAAAGTACATATACACTTAAGTAAACTTAACCAACATATACATAAACAAGTGGTAAACAAACTTATTAAAATAGAAATACTAAAATTGTAGTGGCACAACAAAAGCCTGTAAATCCAACTAGAATCTAATTCATACAAATTTAAGAAAGCCCAAAATGCTTTTTTCATGTTCAACTCACAAATTTCACTCATGTTCAATGTTTACAATAATATAGAATAAAATATGCTTTTTGTTACTAGATAAAAATATGCTGGGTGAAGCAGTTTCAAAAGACATGTCTAGTCAAACCTTTAAAAACTACATCGAGACAGAATATTGTCCAATGCAATCACATTTTGCAGAATTCGATTTCCTTCCACGGTTATGGGGTATTAAAATAATGCATTGCCATTACACCATACTAAAAAAAAATAGAAATATTTCATCCCAGCTACAAAAAGTTCACTCACCTTAAATTATATCTGTAAACAATTTTGCAATAAGAAATATAATCTTTCAAGTAAAAAAAAGATAATATAATACTTCAATCTGTATCAATTCCATTTAAAAGGTTCAAATTGCAGAAATTGATATATATGAAACATAAATGTAGGATATGCTGTCGTCCTTCATGTGGTTTCTGATTTCTGGTTGCAGTATCTCTGTAGGTTCAATAGTCATGTTTGCTGGAACCATCCATGTTTCCCAGCATGTCTTCCCTTTCACTTCTATTCCTGGGAAAAACAGGAAGGCTCGGCCTGCTAACAATCTAAAGTTTGTTCAGAGTACCTCCATCTTGAGCCCACAGTGTTGTCTTACAAATGTATTAGAACTATTGGTTACTATGCTGTTATATCTTAAACATGCACTTAGATGTTGAGAATAATTCCCCATCCATACAGGATATGATGAGAGCCAAAATAAGATGCCATCCTTTTCTTTACATGCGTACACCTATGAACAAAGCAAAGTGATGATTGGCTGAGCTTATTAAAGCAGTATGAAGAGTCTTTTGGTCTTACTTATGAAACAATTCATAGAGTGACATATTCTTATGACAATATACGTATAGCCTGAGTAACAGCGGCGTGGCAGATAGGACATTTGGCTTCACTCCTCTCACAGATACGGTTGGCACATTCCATACAGAAAAGATTGTGTCCACAAGGAACCAGGGCTGCGATGACCTCACTCTCAAAGCACACTGAACAATCACGACTGCCTTTTCGGCTGGTGCAGGATGATGTAGAGGAGGAAGAAGAGGAAGAGGAGGCAGAGGAGTCAAATGCAACGCCATGGAGATGAGAGCCATGTGGGGAGGCAATAGCGATGGAGTAACCGATGAAACTGAGTGGGCCTCCTCCTGGATCACTGCGCACCCTTCGGGCAAGTGGGTGCTCAGTGGAGACTCTAGTGTGGCTGTGGATGGGGGGCGACATTCTTAGCTGTGGGGTACAACCATTAACCCCTAAACCATTGGTGGGGGTGTTGTCGGGAAACACAGCCGAGGTGGAAGATGGGGTGATGCCACATTCATAATGGGACCACAGGAGGGCTGTTGCTGTTTGTGAAGAGTCAAAAGTCTGATCACTGTACTCAGGTGAAATCACTTCACTTCCGTAAACAAAAGAGTCGCTGTTTGTGTTGCCATTGGTGATATTGTTGTTGTTTGGGGTGGTGTAACTTAGGGCAGGGCTCGGAGGGCTGTAGTCAGTCATGCGAGAGCTGTTGTTACCAAAGTAAGAGTCAGTGGAGGCACTGCCTAGAGAGGAGGACGAGTCATTGCGGTAGTTAGAGAAGGGTTTACGTATAGAGGTGGGCTTCATTCCATTGCTGGACTTAGACCACAGATTGGCATGCCCATGCAGATCAAAACCAACATCTGTCCCATTTGCATGGAAGTCATTGTCATCTTGGACCTCAATAAGTCCTCCTGTCCTCATGGCAATGTGGGCTTCAATCTCTTCACGTGCTCTATCAACATTCTCTGGCATCCCTGTGACCTCGAACACCGGCTCTTTGTCTCGACTGGGTGTGACTATGTAGGTATGGCTCTGCTGTTGAATGCGCTTGATGGTGGCACCTTTTGGGCCAACAACAAGTCCAACCACACGGTAGGGCACCCGAACCTGAATTGTGGTCTGTCCAGGCAGGTTTGGTGGTCCGGGGACTGGGGTACCACTTTGGTTTGGGCTGGTGTTTTTGTTCCTAGAGGCTCTAATCATTGAGAAGTGCTCTGCAGCAGAGATGATTTCCCTCCTGGCCATAGCAACATCCTCCCTCCTGCCTGTCACCAAAAACATAGGCTCTTCACCTCGAACGGGGGTCTTGATGTAGGTGTTGGTCTTTGCTCGCAGGGCTTTGATCTTGCAACCTGAGGCATGGAAGCAGAAGGAACGTGAATGAATGTTCACATATTAAATCATCACTTTGGGTCTATTCAAAACAGCTGTTGTCTTCTCTCAAAATGCAATTGTCCTAAGTTGAGACCTCCATTTTGGAGAAGGAAAAATGTAAACAGCAGAACATGAATCACACAAAAGAGAAATCACTTCTAGTTCGGTTTTAAACCTTTTTCACCCCAACTCTTGATTCTGAAAGCAATAATATATATATATATATATATATATATATATATATATATATATAAAATGAAAGCATTATAACACCCACAGCACACACTTAACTCTTTAGAATCAAAATGGGGATGAAGCATGAAAAGAACAATATAATAAGCATGACTGTTAAAGGATCCTTTAACAAAGAATTGAAGGGAGTTCAAATCCCTTAAACTCAGTTTTCATAGTTAAAGTCTTCATATGTATGATACATGCTTCATGAGGATCAGTATCATTCTATATTTAGGCCAGATGTGATCCACATTATTTAATTACTTGCTCATAACCTGAGAAAATGGCTGAGTGGTTGTGGTAGGCCTAAGTGATGTAAATAGAACTTCTTTACAAATGAAAAGCAGGGGGTGAGAGCCAGAGGGTCCTTTGTTTTCATGTTGCAGCAGAAAGGTATGTACAGCTATCTCCGCCTGTTTCATGTCATGAATTGAGATGGTTCATATTCAGAATGGCTTTGACATGGTGCATGTTCTCTACCTCTATTTTCTTTCTTTATTTTGTTTCATAGGCCATACAGACTTGTTCACATCAGATAATGTGAGCAATGCTTTTATTGCAGGGTGTATTATGATTCAAGCAACCATGCTATTCTCCTATCGGTTTACGGTTATAGAAAAACAACAATGTATGACTGACAGAGTAGGCTTTAAATGTGTTGAATTCACGTTCGGCTTCTCTACACAAGACAAAATATTGTATGCCTTAATATTAAGCAGGTCGTAAGAAGCAGTGTGAGTGCGGCTTTAGAACAGCACTAGTGCTATCTGGACTGATATAGGGTCGTCCTCTACTGTTTACCTGCATGACATGAACACGAGTTAAAGTGTGAAGAATTGTAAAACACACACCCTGTCTGCCAACAATCTCCGCCACATGCTCGGAGCTGGGCACCGGGACGCACTCGGTCATGTTGACGCTCTTTCTCTGGGACTCCTGCTCGTCGAACAGGGGGTTCTCCTCCTCGGTGTCCAAGCCGAGCAGGGACAGCTGATCTAAGGCGATCTGCAGGGCTCCTCCCTGGACGCTGTTGTCCGTGAAGACAGAGCTGGGCATCTTTGCAGTGAGAAAGGATAAAGGCTAAAGGGAGGTGGGAAAAAGAAAAGGCCTGATAAAGAAAGGGAGAGGTCTGTGCATATAAACCAGAGCAGCTGAGGGGAGAGAAAACCCCGTTGTCCACAGGAGCTCCAAAAAAACATACACTCCTTTGTTTCCCGACAGAAAATGGATGTTCCTGGTCGTGGCCGTGCCGGACTTTTCCGTGTCGCACGGGATAAAAAAACGCTGTTAGATAGTTATTCTATTTCTTCCAGACAAAAGGCCCCTCCCCGGCGCACTTCCTTCACATTTTCTGTTGCTTCTGTCTGAGTCCTTGCAGTGCCAGACTGTGATATGTTTGGGTGACGTCACCGCCTGGGTAGGGAAGATGCAATGCAGCGAGGTCATTTGCATATCCGAGAGCTGATTGGCTGACGCTGGGTCTACTTTGGCAGTCCCGCGATCTCATTCTTTGTATGTCGTTGTAGTTGCAGTTTGATTTGAATTCAAACACTTATAGACACTCTAGAAAAAGAGATGTTTTCCTTTGTGTTGATCTTTTGAACTGTGCAGCCTACTTAAATGCTGTTTGTGACAACACGGGGAGAACACAGGTAGGCTAAATATAAAACCTAATCATCAGTGGAAACTCTGTGTCTGAAACCAGCAACTTAACAATAGGCAAAATATTAGTTTGGGGATAAAACCTTTGGTGTATTGTATTATGCCAGCATGTGTAATTAAAGTGGTGTTTCCACACAGTTAGAGGTTCCCCAACATAAAATAATAAATCCAGCTATTTAACTCACTCAAGCACAGAACATTACGACTATGAAAAAGTGTACTGCCCCTTTGATACAGACGTGTGCACATATTTTATACATGAGAGCATGTAGGCTCAATATTGTAAAAAAAAACAAAAAAAACAATGAAGCAAAATAAGACTATTTTATTCATGTGCACCCTTTAGTAGTATTGTCTATTACAAATGTCTAATTGTAATTGTTATATTAAAGAGTGACTCCATACGCACTGATACATTGGCTGAACAAGAGAATGAATGCTGTGGAAAAGTTACATGGTCTTCCTTGAAATATTTTTTTAAATTCTTTTGTAAAATTTTCATTACCATGATGTCCAGTGATTTAATAACTATTATCATCATATTGAATTTTAATTTGACATTTCGACCTCTGAAAATCTTTATTGATTCAATGATGTTCTGGATAATACTGTGCATTACTTATTTTATGCAGTGATGTTTTAGTGTATGCCACAACAGCACAAACACTGAGGTTGAAATGGTGGCAAACCTTCCAGTCTGTATGAAATAATGTTTGAAAAAGACATTTAGTACACTTCTGACCTTGCAGTGGTGATGGCATTTGTGGCCTGTCTAAGACCAGAGAGTCAGAATGATTGGGCAGGGTGGGGGTGTAATAGAGTGTGTGTGAATGGGATGAGACACAAAGGAGATTTCATGCCAATTCAAAGCTGTTGAGAACAGAAGCATTGCTTCGTCATCTCACCCCAGGAGCACAAAGCCAATGCAAATGAGAAACGGCTCTAAGGAAGTGATGGAATTGGACCATCAGGTCTTATCTGCCAGCAAACCCCCAACATCTTTTTCAATAACAATATGCTTTGTTGCCTGTTGTGTGCCCTACAGCCAGTCCCAGTTTTGAAAAAAGTTTTATAAAACTGATTGAACCAAAACAACAACAACAACTGTTTTCACCAAATAATCCATGTTTCATGACAGCCCCATATAATACTGTATCTCTGTTGTACTTTTGTTACCAAAAATCAGTGATTAGGCAGTTTCTATGAGTGACACTGAAATATTTGAGCTTTGGCTCTTTTACACCACGTGACCCACTTGTTTATATTTGAGCAGTAATAACTGCAGTAATAAGTTCAGAGAAAGACTGCTAAAACTCTGGTTGGTTTTACCACGACATCTTTTGGTGTATTTGTCAGGCTAGTAATTCCATCTGGACTGAATAGGAGCCATCTTTAGACCCATTACCCAGGTTTTAGTAATACCTCCATGTCCTACTCAAGGACCGTTTATTGCAGCTAGTGCATCCTATTCAAAAGTAATAATTCCACATAAGTAAGACGATAGCTTCCTTGATTTCCCAGATCAGATTGGCAAAGCGGAAATTACATACAACTGAAGAAGTTTTAAATATCTGGGGCATGTTAGACTATTTCCAGTTCACTGCTCCGCCCATGATAGGGTTTGATAAAATATGTCTATTTAATTGAATTGAAAGACTTTCAGTGGTATTGCACAGGCCCACAGTGTGGCCCAGTGCTCTATCTTAAGCCGAGATAGACACTGTTTGTCGCTTCATTGCTGATGTTTGTTGTTTGGTATTAGGCGTGAACCAGCTGCTTAGAGGCGATTACCCGCATGCCTTTTAATGAGAGGAAGAAAAGCTTAGCCTTGTCTAACCCAGAGAGCAACGGAGACAGACAGGGCTTAGTGATTGCTCTGCCAGCACTGCAGGGCTGCAGACAGGGTCAGTCAACAGCAGGTCACAGGATACAGAGAACCTGTCTGCACACTGCTCTGCTACACTCTGACCTCATAAAGCCCACACAACAACATAAATACTACACAGTTATCTTGCTGCATCAAAGGGTATTACAGGGTTTACATAGTGGGAAAGTGAGCCCCTGTGAAAAAACACAAAATCTGCTGCCTCCCACCCCCTCATCTTTGTCACACCTTTAAAAAAGATTGTATTTCATATTCTAAACATTTTATCTACATTTATAAATTAACATATTTTTATTTTCTTTTAACATTTAAAAAAAATATTTTAAACATCTTTATCTTTTAAAAGTTATTTGACCATTATCTTTTTTTAAATTCCTATTTCATTTATGCTCTGCCCTGTACTGGGCTTTGCTATTGGTTTAACCTTTGAGACTCTGACTCAAATCGTCAGTTTTTAATCGACTCACTGCCAGTCCCTATAAAACCCCCATACATTTCTCCTCTCCCATTTTCACTCAGCCATCCTGATGACTATTTCACTCTAAGAATTGAACCACCATCCACTGTCGTAAAAGATTAAAACCAAAACTGCTTTGAGTAGTCAGAAGGCTAGAAAAGTGCTATACAAGCCCAAGTCCATTTACCATCAGCCACTAGCCCTTAAACTGGCTTTTCTAAGCCAGTTGGTGGCCCTTGTATTGTTGCCAATTGAACCATCAATCACAATATTCATACACTTAAAGAAAACTTGCATACAGCTTCATTTTTTACAGATTTTCTTTATTTTAAAATAAAAAATACCCTAGAACAAACATAAATAAAATGGATAACCCTAATATGTATCACAGAATTAGTATAAAATGAAATAAAAATAATAATAATATTGTAACACAACATACAATATCAAACAACCCAGGGCAAGGAGCAGTAGTGGTCACAGATTTTCACTTTACTGGATTCATTCAAATTCTTACACTTTTAAAAAGCTTATATGGTATATTTTCTCTTCAGCACAGAAACCTCAGCATAGTTTTTCAGCTTAGCCAAAACGTTTTCCAAAACCTTACAACCTTACCAACACCGTGCACAAATATTTATTTTTGAGATATTTTATGGATACTCTTTGACATAAGTAATCAAAAGGCAAGTGCTTGAAACTATTAGGCTAATTACAACAAATGGGAAACAAACATTCTTAATTGACTATGTTGTTAGCTAAATAAGTACACAAAGATGTCAATAAAAACAAACGTAGGTCTTATACAACAGAATTCACAAAAAAAAAGGGTGACTAGGGCCCGAGGATGCACAGAGTGCGAGGACCCTCTTGAAACCCAAGATGGTCCAAGGAGATGAATGAAATAAATGCTGTTTTTGTCTGTTAAACAGGCATTATTTTGAAAAATGGGATGAAATTGGTGGACTTCATGTTGGGTTTTGACAATGGGTGCAAGAGGATTTTATGTAGGGCCTGATATGCATAAAAAATATCAAGCATGTAGGTGAAGAAAACCCCTACAGGGAGGTCTTTTTGAAAGTTTGAAGGGGGCGCCACTGAGCCACGCCCACTTACTTAACCAATATGGAACATTATACTTTCCCTCTAGGATAATGTGTATTAAGTTTCGTAAGTTTACGACAATGTGAAGCCCTGAAAATACTACTTCCTGTTTGATGGCGACAACGCATTCGTAGGGCAACCACTTTGGACGTAGGCATTTGAGCTTTAAACTGAGGGGGATATGATGAACTGTGTAGGAATGGCTAGTGCTAATTCAGAAGTAGGTAAAGAAAATTCCACATGGCTATCCGCCACACTGGGGGTAAATGTTTATATCCAACAATCTGAAAACTATGCTGAGAATTAAGCACGTGTGATGTAGCTGCAGCTACTTTCCCCTGCTCCTCTGCTCCTCTGCTCCTTTGCTGTCTACATGGAAGAGCATCACAGGGGCACGCTGACACACACCAACATACATAAGTGAATGGCAGCCATCATGCATACCTGTTTACGTTAAGGGCCTGATTTACTAAGCTCCCAAGTGAAGAGTACTAAATTGCATGTTCACTCCAAAAAATGCACGTTTGGTTGGTGTGCAATTTGCGAGTGATCTATTAAGAAAATGTGCATGAAAGACACCAGGTACAAACCTTGTGGAGGTGGTACTATTTAAGTTAGGTTCTTGTGTGTTCTACTGGTTTACGTCATGGAGAGTTTGGACGGAAAGCAGGATGACTGCAAGTGCAAAATAGGTATCAGTGGATGAGGCAAATAAACATACAGTATTTTCGAGTTAGAGCAGATAAATCTGAATATTACAAAAAGAAAATTTGGTTTATAAGTAAACCTCGGCATTAAAGAGGGCCTCTCTTTTCTTCCCTCCACCTTTAGAATGAATCATCAAACATTGCGCAGGAGGTGCGAGTTGTGTCCTCTGTGGCACGGGCGCTCAGGTGCAACACTCGGTCTATTGTTGCACACCAGACAGCTTGCCAGTGCTGTGTCTGATCGGACATAAATGCCCTGGCAAAAGGAACGAAGATGAGGGTACAAGCAGTGGTGAAGTCCCTGTTCCGCCCTTGTAAAGAGTCCCCTTCCTCAACTAGACAGACAGATAACTCCTTCCACATTCCGTAGTCAATAAATGTTGATTTATTTGAGTGCCACCGTTATTCATTGACAGAATGCAAAATGGAGTAAAACTGTAATAAGAAACCATCAGTTATGATACACATGATCAATAAACATATCTGTGTGGTATAACATGCTTGTCAATGTCAATCAAATTAACAGTATGTGACTGAAAATATATCTGATCGAAAACTATCACTTAGCGAACAAGGTATACTGCAGAACA